ACCCCGTCTCTACTAAAAATACAAAAATTAGCCAGGCATGGTGGCAGGTGCCTGTAATCCCAGCTACTTGGGAGGCTGAAGTGGGAAGATCGCTTGAACCTGGGAGGCGGAGGTTGCAGTGAGCTGAGATCACACCACTGCACTCCAGCCTGGGTGACAGAGCAAGAGTCCGTCTCAAGAAAAATAATTTGGGTTCTCAAGTCAGACAGACAGCGTTTCAGTCCTAACAGAGCACTTGATGGCTGTATGACCTTGGGCAGTCCCCATCTGACTGTCCTGTCTGAGCCTCGGCACTGAAGTAAGCTTTCAGAGTTGTTGAGGGGATGCAAGCATGTAGAACAGTGTCTGACACACAGGAAAGCCCTCAAAAAACTGGTTGTCAGTTATTACCTGAGCACCTTGCTCTCTCCAGCTCAGCAGGGGCCCTATCCCAATGCTGCCTCTTTTCCCTGATCAGGGAGAAACTGCAGAAGCATGGGGTGTGTATCCGGGTCCTGGGCGATCTGCATTTGTTACCCTTGGATCTCCAGGAGCTGATTGCACAAGCTGTACAGGCCACAAAGAACTACAACAAGTAAGTTCTCAGATTTCCCTGTAGGGAGCTGTTTCAATATTTGATTCCCTGCTGGCTTTAGGGAGACGTCCTGGGCTTTTCTTGGTCTAGATTGGTGCAACGGGCAATGAGAGAGTAGGTTGAGCAGCTTAGAGACTTTCTCCTGACTGCAGGGCACACCAGACATGATTCTGCAATAACATGTTATATGTGTGTATACTGACATATACGCATAGTTTCCTCCTTTCTGTGCCTACCCCCCACCAAGTAAATGTGTATGTGTGTATATGTATATATGTTTTTACTTGACAGGGGATGGGATCAGAATACAACAATTCTTATCCCTGTCTTTGAAGACAGATCCTTCAAGAAATTCTTTTTCTGTTCCACTCCTTTAACCTATGGATAGGATGACCTTGGGAGGTCATACAGACCTACGGGGAATAGAATTCAATAATCCAAACTCC